CTCGAGATTCCGTCTCAAAGCTCTGATCATGCTGTTAGTCAATTCACACTCCTGGTTTGGAAATGAACCCAGTGTCACAAAGCAATCCCCTTCAGACCCTGGGCACGCAGACAGGATTCACAAAACCTGGCAAAATAAATGACCTGATACAATGGGCAAGGCTCCTGGCCTCTGGTACAGGAGAAGAAAAGGATGACAGTAAGTACATCCCTGAATGTCCATGAGGTATTCCTTCCGCCGTGTGGCACTACTGCTTCTGCTCTCCTGAGCAGGCTCTTCAGACAGGCAGCTTTTGAAGGCTTTATGCCAACCTGACCAGTAGATGCTTCTGAGGAAGTGAATGAATTCTTCCTGCTATTAGGCTAGCCTTGCCCATTTCTTAGTCTTCATTCCTAACAGGAGCAAAAGTACTTGCTTTCCTGATTCCTGGCACGTTCCTCTGCATAAGGGTCTTCCTTCTGCATTATAGCAGCGTCAGCCTGCACAGGAAAACCTGGTCAGTCATGTATCAAACCGATTTATTAATTCAATCACACCATGTTCTATATGAACTAGGCTTGCCAGCATTAATACAATGATGCCATATTCAGGTAGGCATAATATAAACAGATGCAGGTAAGATTTCTGCACAGAGTGCAGAAAGGAAGAAACCCTGCTTGAACTTAAGGAGGGGCAGTGATAAGTCCTTAAGGCTCAACTAATCCATGTCACTGCAGGGCAGCTGGTACTCATCCTGAGTAAATGAACATCATCTACCCTGCTTACATCTGTAAAATACACTAAATTAGAAGCCATGCAATGCCCAGACAGACTGGTGCTCCTTGGAATGCATAAACTCCCACAGTTCACATGTCCTGGTTTCTCTGAGTAGGGTCCCCCGAGGGCCACAAGGCTCCAAGAGTGTGGAATTCAAGTCATTTTTGCTGCCACTGTATGAAGCAGTCTCTTACTTTACTGCTTTTGCTCTCAGATGACTTCTCTTCATCAGGCACTGATTCACTGACAAGCAAACACTGCTGTGCCATTCCCCTCTAAAACCACCATCAGAACAAAGTACTCTGAAATCCAGCTGTGATGCACTACAAAATCTGGCAGTTGAGTTAAACAGACCAAAAATACAGAGAACGCTCTTGACGGCTTGCTCTAACAATGGGTTTGCTGAATGCTCCAGTGAGAACGATCAAGATGTTTGGGTGCTGCTTGAACAGTTCCCATATTAAGTTTTAAAAATACTTCAGAAACTGAGGAAAGGGAAAAACAACAAGAAGAGATAATGATTAAATAGCACGCACATGACAGGAGCTGGATACCTGGTTTCACACCTCCATTTGTAACTGAAATCCCGTTTGATGGTGTTGCAGATGCCACGCTGTAACACTGCTCTAACCGACTGATCCTACTGCACTTCATCCTTTCACGACCATGTTCACCCTCCTCTTGATGCCCACGGGCTTCCCACATTAACATTAACAGCAGGCAGGCATGTGCATCAGTGGCTGAATTAAATGGATGTTTAGCTGTTACTGAGAATTCGGCTTCAGGAGGAAGTCAGTGTGCCTTACAAGTGACAAGCAGTCATTGTAAAGACTGCTTTAAACAGGCCAGGTTATTTTCCTCCAGGAAAAGTGTTTTGAATAAGTAAAGGGCTCAGTACAAGTCTCATTTAAATGAAAGGGCATTCTGCTGTTAGTTTCAAGTCGGAACAGCTCGGGCCAAAAGGCTTCCCCTCAAACCTCATTCTCTGGTTTTACTGCAGACTTTTTGTTAGGATTTGTATGCGTCAGAGCGATCTGATTTTGATTCTTACAGTAAAATGTCTCCTTTGAAGCAAAAAATGTCTTCTTCTTCTGCTTCAGTATATTAAACCTGATGGTTTGCCTTCAGGATGGCTTGCATCTAAGATGGTTTGCAGCAGTGCCTTACTGTAAGAGGTGCAGAGAGCCTCTGACATCTAAGGTCCAGTGACTGCACAGACAGCTTCTCAGGGTGCTGGGGAGTTTGCCAGAGCAAGTCATTAGGGAGAAAAGAGAATAAATCAGTAACACAAACACAAACTTTAGACACCAACAACAAATGGCTCCAAGGGTGTGAAAAATGGGAAGGGTCTGATGCTGGCACCGCATCCCGCCATCAGGAACGGCTGTGACAAACGACAGGCGAAAAGCATCTCCTACAGCCAATGCCATCAAATCTGCTTTCAGCTCAAGTACTCTCTACAATGATAAACAAGGTTCAGTTCCAGTAAGAGCACATACATTCATTCCAAGGGCTTTCCAGATTTTGCAATCTAATTAACAAGGTTAGAGGATTTTAATTGGATGTAGAAATCAAGCCATATTTTTCCAGTAGCAGAACTCACACTTTGCCTAACGTCCACCTTCGCAAGGGTGGTTACAAGAAGGATGTCATCCCTCCGCACAGTGATTTCATGCTTGCCTGTGCTGCCCTTCACAATCTTGCCCTTAGCGCAGAAAGGGCCTAACCAACTTCTTCATATTTACACCACTTTAAGAAGGCCTATGTGAAATCTGCTAAACATTAAGTCAAATAAGTCACACACAGAAAGGATGCTGTTATTTTTGAGAACAGAATCTGTGAGATTGTCACTGTTCTATCACTATTTAAGGCTACACTGTCGGGAAACAGATTCAATTCAGAGATTGTAATCTCCACATGGTATACTGGCACACGGAAAAGTACTTCATGTGATAACTTCTTCCAAGGACTTGCTGTACTTTTGAACAAAGGTAAACAACAAAAAGCTACGAGTAAAGAGCACAGACAACTCTGAGGAAAACACAAATGCCTCCAATTCCTTTCTGATGCTTTGTTCTCCAGAAATTCTGTTCCATGCTTAAGACCTAACTGAAGGCACAAAAGCTATGAGCACTTAGGCAGGGTTTCAGAAAACCAGTATCTAAAAGGCAGATTTCAAATACAAAAGTATAGGTTTGCATAAAGCAGCAAGAAAAACAAGTCTGAAATAAATCAAATCATAAGAAAGGCATCCAGGACGAAAACCAACATGACAGCTATTGATACTCTACCTAATTCATACAAATCCCAGGGCGAATCCAGTTATTGGCGTGACTGGGTTTGCATGGCAAATCCATATTCCACTGCCTCAAAAGTGAGTATTCATTTTCACTCTTTATACAGGCAGTCCCCAGCCCTTGTACACTATAAACCCAAGTAAGCCAAACCTCCTTCCGTGAAGCACAGACTGGACCTGCATACCATGGGAGAAGGCACACCATCTAGAGAGATTCCTCTGTCCGAATGTGACCAACATATTCATATAAATCCCTGCTGTGTCTAAATTAAGATTTTAGTGTCTTAGAAATCTGAATGCTTGGATGTAAAATTGAAGCGGCGCAACCTACAAACAAACAGAAAGCCAAGTCATGACACAGTTTAGTTCAGTTTGGTTCTGCAAGAGGTTATTTGCTGCCCCTTCCAAACTGACTTCTTCACTTACTCAGTGGTGGGGGTAAGCATATTCTCCACTGGAGTGAATTTGTTCAGTTCTTAAATGCTGCACGTTATTTCATAAAGCAAAACCTGTGCAAACATCAGGAGACAACTTTGGGCTTCAGGAAAGAGTATCCAAATATCCACAAACAGAACGAGTAAAACCACTTCCACACCCATTAAAAAAATCGCTATTGAGCAGCATCGATGTCAGTGTTTCTATCATACGGAAAGCTGGAAGGATTGGGAAAATCCAAGCATTTTCTTTACGCGTATAAAATCAACGTTGATTTTTTGTTAAACTCTACACTCCACATTACGTTTCACAAACTGAGCAACAAAAAGGACTGAAAGAGATAACCTGCACTGTATTACCGCAAGACCATTCCTGGTTCAAGACAGTTTTTGCATTACCTGTAGTTAGTAAACAGAGCTTCTGTAAATGAAGCAGCAGCGCAATACCAGGGCGGAAAAACCCAGAAAGGCCTGTAGTGAAGTTGTCAATCTCTAAATCAATAAAACCTGAAAGCCTGGCTCTGCAAAGAAACCCCTCCAAAGGGGCCAAATAAACCATGAAGTGGAATTAGAGTGTCTATCAAAAAGGACTTTGTGATATTGTTAGTCAGTGTGAGAATGTGAAACCCATGTGGTATGTCTTTATTGTTGAATACTCACACTCTCGATTTCACTGTACTTGACTGTCTGTATATCCTCAAGCCAGGATTGCTCACAAGTATTATATAGAAAATCAAGAGAAAAATACTTGTCCTAATGAGAACGCTCTAGGTTATCACTAATTCTCTCAACAAAGTCCAAAATTTCACCCTTCTAACCACCAAGTCCTACACCAGTCACTGAGATCCCATATTAGTAAGACGTCACCATCATTTATAAGAAAAGAAATCTCTTGCTTTCCATACAGCAGCAATTAAATGAAACTTAGAATTACACAGAAAAAGAGTATTTTGAGTTGGGAAGCTCTTTAAGAAAATGTTTTCTCAATAATCCACAGTGAATATAACATGAATTAAATTCAGCAGCCAGTAAATTAGCGTGATTCCCACGAACGTATCTGGGACAAATAGGAATCTCAGAAGCACTGGTATTCCCCCAGTTTCACTGGAAGCCATAAGGGTTTATCTGATGGCAAACTTGCTTGGGATACTGTGGCTTCTCAGTCGCGTCATTAGAAAGCTGTGTTTCCCAACCTGAACATAAGCAAAGCAAACTTCTAACTTTGAGTGTGAACATTCATTCAACTGCTGGCAAATCTCTGGAAAAATAACTTACTGAGGGTTCTCTTCTCCAAGAAGAAAGGTAAAAACTCCTCGTCTGCTCTCTACTTCCAACACAAAGCATATGGCATTCCCTAAAACAGCTCAGAAGAGATTCAAACGGAGACCTATTTCAATCAAAGCCACAGCACTTTGCATTCAGTCAGAGTAGCTCATCCGCTGCTACTTCCTTCACGTCTTTCAACCTACCTTCCGACGGCTGGCATCTTAAAGAAACCTGTATCAATTCATTCTATGGAAAAATATTTTAGTAAAGTCGCGCTCTATGAGCTTCCTACATTGGAATACACGAATACAGGAAGTGCTTTCAACAGAAAGTTACATAGTTTTACAGTACAACCTGTCTAAGGAGATTTGGAAGGGACCAAACTAATGATCTGGTCTCTTTGGATTAGGCAGAAGTACAGGCAAAAGGGGAAAACCCAATTTATGCCATATATAGAGCTCGTTCCTGTCACAGATTGAAGAAACATTAGCTTGATGCCAAAGTTCACCTGTCACCCAAATGCTAAGATTTTTCAAGCCAACCGCATATCGAAAAATGAGAACTTATTTGTACTCAGCTCCTGGAAAGAAACTCGGGGTAAACCAACAGCATCGAATTATCTGCTGCATTACCAAGTGTTCTCCACCGGTGGGTTTTAATCTTGCTGTACAGATCATTCAGTTTTTCTCAAAGTGCAAATTATTGACCTTTAATCTGAACACAGGCAGGTCAGAAGCTACAGTGTTAGAGCAATACAAAAATTACACAAGGAGGAGCTTACACTGATTTGGAGAACCTTACATAAAATGTTTCTGAATCCAAAACCACAAAACAAACCCAAACAAATACAGCATCAGGTAGATGGGAGAGGGACCACTAACGGATCTGTGTACAGCCAGGCTTCTCTGTCACCGAGGAAGCGTACGTAGGACTCTAAGTGAAGATTATCTATTAAATCCGCCCAGTTTGCATGTTGTGCATTCTTTATGATGGAATGTTGACCTCAGTTTTCATTTCTGACTTCCACAACGCGTCTGTTGATTGTTACCAGGGATGATCGTCTGCCGGAGACCCAAATCTCGTCGAACCACGACTGCACTTTGTACCATCCGTTACGATTCTAGCAGAGTATGCCATCTACATACTTGCTGTCCTTTAGATTCTTTCATTTCAGTCCAGTGATTGAGTTCATCTTCTCCTGAGCTGTTGAGACCTAAGGAAATCCACCCTATCATCTCTTTTCGTTTCATGCTGCGCTTATTATATACAGACAGTATGAGCGTCACATCGGAAAGCTGAAACAGCGCCACTTGGAAAACGAAGGTCTCTTTGTACACTGGATTTGGCTGCCCTCGGCGGATTGACGTTTTGCATTTGGACATCTCTTGCCCCATCGAGTTCAGCAGCGTTAACTTAACATACGTGTCTACAAAAGAAATCATATTTTGGAGTGTCAGATATCTCGGAACCAAAGTTTTTCAGAGCGAGAGGTTTACAAGACACAAGGATATGGTGTATACCAGGTTGACTGAACACAGCTTAGTTTAGACACATGGAAAGACAACGAGTAAGCAAAATATTACAAACACACTAACAAATTAATTAGCTTCAGAACTGCGTAAATGGGTTAAGTTAAAGGTATACCTCATAATCCTCTTCCCATCAACCCCTCTTGTTTGTACTAAACAAACTTACATTGCATTAACACTTAGCAAGCTCCAACTAGCCACAACACCGTGAAGCATACCACTGAACTTCCAGAGAATAGGAATAAAGAAAATGGAACGAAGGCAAGAAATGAAGATTAAAGAAATAATGTTGGTAAACCAGCCAGAATGAAATGCTTAAGAGTAATCTCTGCATGGATGTGGCTCTCACTTTGGGCTTTTCAATTTGAGATATTTTAAAGACCTAAATGTAGCAAAGTGCATTTAAAGGTGGAACTTTACACAATACAAACAACCCTGCTAATTTGTACCTTCATGAAGGAATACATTTAATACACCTTTAAAGAGAAATAAGGTTTTGCGTCATTTGTACGCTGCTCTTAGGAGGTACATTTAAGAAGCCGACGCAGGTGGGGTTAGCACACATTGGTTGTTAGTATTTGGGTGGAAACCCTTATTTTTAAAGCTCTACTTTCATTTGACTAGAATGGCACCAAACCATGCTCCAGCAGAAGGATGCGTATTCCATGAAGTTAACTCATTTTAAGAAATATAGAGCTGTATAAAACAACCTGGTGTTTCATTCTTTGTATCTGTCATGTTCACGTTAATGAATAACAGTATTGGAAGACTGGAGTGATTTTATGTAGATTTGATGGAAGACTTCTGTAAAAAGAAACACAAGGAATATTTTCACCTTGCAGGTACACTGAAATCCCAACATCCATAATCAGAGATAAATGCAACTGGTGCGTTACAGAGTGCCACAAATAATAAACACATACTTTTATAAACCGATATGGTAGGCAGCTGCGCATAGCTTTACTGCTGGCAAGTTTTCTTTTGCATGAAAAAGACAACATTCAATTAGCTTCTACAAGAACTCACCTCGGATTATATAAACCTGTCCACCTATCAAGTGTTTTAGACAACAGAACAGTCCGTCTGACAACGGGGGGTGGAAAGCAGGAAAAGAAATAATGACCAGATGTCAATAGTTGGGTGAGAGAGGATCAAAGGTTAAAGTTTAAGAGGAAACACTATTCACTGGAGTGGAAGAACACAAACCCCTAGTAGCATAGAGCAGAAAAAGGATCGAACAAAAGGATTGTTGGGTAAAATTTAATGAAATGAAACTTTTTGTGCAGTTCTGGTGTAATCTTTAACAAAAATTACACTTCTTCCATAATGGATTACCTTAGCACTGATAGCTACTGGATTCTACAGCACACTCGACATAGAAAGAATCATGCAAATGACTAGGCAATAGAAGACTGGGTAAAAAAATTCACTGTAGCTTTTACCAAACCTTATGCTTTTTCATGCAAACTCCAGCATATTAAGAAAAACTGCACACAGTATTTTACTTCATATATAAAAAGCAATGAAAGGAAAAATCATTGAACTGAAAACTAAGCTGGTTTTGCCTTAACTTTTATAGTTTCATATATTCGATTGCAATACTTCAGTTCTTGAGTAGTGACAGACTTGGGCACAAGAACGATTCTGATCTAATCTCTAAAAATAGCTGAGGGATGCTCACATCTGAAAATCAACTCTGGGCCTCTATTTAAAATGTAAAGATCTCACTTGTTTGAATCCATGTATTTATGGATTTAATCTGCGTGTGCATGCATACACACACATCCATTTGATGTGCAAAAGCTCGCACCCTGCTTCAACAACGTCTGGAAGAATACTAAGAAGCATCTTTTTCTCAGGCAAAATACTGACTGCCACACCGAGAAACAAAGACACGTATCTCTCTTCAGAACAAGTCCCGACCAAATACTTGCCTACTCTAAATAGTAAGAACTTGCCTATCTGTAGAGATTCTACAAAGACAAGCATAAGCCACTTACTATTTCTTCTCTAAGGGAACACATTGTCCCTTCTCTCCAGGTTTTCTTTCCTATTCATTCCTTCCTTCCCTCACCCCAGTCTCCTTGTGCCTTCTTGGCTCTCCCCAACTATTTCTATGCTTTGTCTCCAAACAGGTGACTCTGGGACAGCTACCTAACCATATAAAGCACTAGCGATTCTTTCACTTTCCTTCTCTGGCCACGTTAACAAAGTCTGGCTCCATCAGCCGGAAAAGTATAGAGAAAGCAAAGCAGCGTAAGGCTGAGCCAAATGTAATTACCGAATAGAAGAAAACATGGGTCAAGAAAGAAAGAGGAAAGCACCAGTCTCAAGTTGTTTGGCTTACTTCCTGAACTCTCAAGACAAAGTGAGATGTGCAAACCACTTATAAAGCGTTGGCAGCCTGCTACATAATCTAGTAATGCCAGATAATCTGCTAGTACCATACAAATCTGGGGATTAAGAAACAGAAGGGCTAAAACCTGAGCCCTCCCCCAGCCTAAATCAAGAGGAACAGGCAGGTACGTCTGGCTACACCTTATGTCCATCAGCCTCATCACGTAAAAACCAGTACAAAATAAATGCGATACGAGTTCATTACTGAACTTTCTCAAGCCATATCAAAGAATTAGACATTAAAAACACTCTGTGCGTGACATCCCATCTGCCTCCAATTTAGAGTTCACAGATATTTCAGACAAATGTATTTTTGAACAAATGCTTGAACACACAGTTCAAGTCCTTTCTGATGGTGAATATTCCTCCTGCACAACACGCCAAAGGTCTCACTTTGGTTCTCTGTTGCCTTCACTGACATTCCCAAGCTACATAGAGAGCCACCACTTCCACAGAGGCATAAAAGCAGTTACAGTCTGCAGTATCAACTCCTCTAGGAAAAGCAATAACTGCTCACAATGTTTATATTAACATTAGCTGGCATGTACTTTCTCTTTAAACACTAACTTTTTATTCTTGGCCTGTGATGCGAGGCATTAGTAATTTAGGAATTAATCATTCCGATAAAGGTAATTTATTAGTCAGTCATCATGAAAAATTTAAACAGTCTTGTCAACTTACAAGTAATGTTTTGAAGCTGAGATTTTTGCTATTTCCCGACTGACTGGAAATATCAAACATGAAATAGATTAGTTGATGATTGCTCTATTTCATTTTGATCGGGTACGACTAAGTGATAGGATTGAAGTCCTTGCTACCGAGAGCCCCACCAGTCCAGAAGCATTAGGATGCATAAAGATTTTCACTCACTGGGTGGTCTGTTCGCTGCCAAGTTTTTGAAGTGGCTGCCTTTTATCACTTCTGCTGATAATCTTCCAGTTGTAGCGTTATAAAGGAGGCCAAGGAGGATTTCTGGAGCTGAGCCATGTACCAGAGACTGACAAGAGGAGGTACTTTCGCTGCAGGACACTTCTGACATGCTCATTTGAGAGTCACAGCCCTAGGAAACAGACACAAAGTTGCATGTATTTTGCGGAACGACGTTACTGGGAAGTCGATTTTTAGAACTATGCACAGAAAACTAGGAAAGCAGTAACAGAAGTCTCATTCAATCACCCAATAAGGAATGTACACCCTAAATATACACTCCGTTTGCACACGTGGAAGCTAACAAAGACTAAAGCAGTTTGGAATTAAAAAAAAAAACACAACAGAATTTGTGTTCCTTTTGCTTCATAATTCAGGAGAAATACAAGCAGAAGATGAAGAGCAGCCTTTGTGGTCCCTGTTTACTTCAATTGCTGTGATAGGACCTGTAACATAATTTGTCAGCATCCTGGAGAACATTAAACGCTGGAGTCTTTTACTTTCCCAGACTGGAAAACACTAGTGGAACTTTGAAGATAATAAAATTCAGGCAATTCTTATTCCTCTCTTGTAAAGGTTATTCTCAAGACTGAGAATTTACAAGTAGCAAAACAACAGAACGCATGCACGGAGAAAAATGCACTGTCTAGAATAAATTAGCTCACAAGGAATTGAACGGATCCAGAGATACGGAACTGCAATAGACCCTTTGTCTTGGGTGGGAAAGGAAGGATGCCATCCTGAAGCTCGGCAAGTGATGCTTTAATTTCCACCTTAGAAGCTTTTCTCATGCATTCTCACCACATCCCGTCTGTGACGGGGGCTTCTGATGCTCATTTTAACCCCTCATTATTTGCCTTAAAAGAAAACTGTACCTTTATGCTGCCACGCTAGTCATCCCCTCCTTGTTCCTACTTTCACTTCTTGCTTTCACGCACTGGCACGTAGAGTTGTACTTCTGAAAACAAGGAACTGGACAGAACCTCGCCAATGGCACAGCAGTTTGCTTAATGGCTGAGAAAAGACTTTTGAATGACCAGTACATCCCTTTAGGGTGTACATCCCTCTCGGAAAAGGGGTAATTTGGATCCACAGAGTTTTCAAATACGGCTTGAATCGTTTGGGAATCTGGGAGCACTCTTCCAAGGAGTCACGATGGGTTTGTGAAGCGGATTCTTCCAGATTCCAAGTGTCTCCATCATTTCCAGCAACAGCTGACGTGGGCACAAATCCTCGTCAAGAGGCAAGTTAACTTTAAAAGCAAGTAACTTCATCTGACACATAAATCTCAGCTGTGTTACAGAATCTCAAAGTACAGAAGAACGATACCTACAAGAAGAAGTTACGAACCTACAATAATATCCTTCACACTGACCTTCTAACTAGTTCTTCTCAATAGAGTATTTCCAAGAGGCTGGACAGAAGGCTCAGCAGCAAGGCAGTTCCTCATTAATAAACACCGTTGGTAGTCAATGTATTCTTACTACTCAAGAACCAGCTCAACAAAATTCCCTTAGGTCTCAAATTTGACTGTGACCATGCTGCAAGTCCACAAAAAAGATGTAACACAAAGTGAGCAGCTGGGTAATGCTCTCCCCACCCAAAAACCTCAAAGAGCTTTGATAACTGTACCAAGAGAAGGTGATGACAGCACTCTTTCCTGATGGTGACTTACTTATACAGTTTACTGATGTTCGAATTGGGACTCGGTCTAAATAGGTTTGTGACAGAGTTACACTGGTCACAGTGGGTATAAGAATGACTTTTAAAATGCTAGAAACAGTAAACAGTAAATGAGTGATGACTGAGCGGGGATGAATCCTCAAGTGTACCTCGAAAGGAAGAGAAGTGGTTTCTGTGTGGTTTAACAGAGTAGGGGGGAAACAACTGAAAAATGAAACAAGTGTGATACTACAAAGTTGCATAAGGATAGGCTAGGAATAGCATTCCTTTCCAGCAGAATCCTGAGTGGACGGACAAGGACAACAGTACACATGTTAAGGCCAGAGAAAACAATGTGACCAGCTGAATGGTGGGATGAAAAGACCTAGAGGATGCTTCATACCTGTAAGCGGACGGAAATGCAACTCAGCCACTGTACCTTAGAGCTGCTGCACAGAAAGAACTGGTAGATGCAGTCTTGATGGAAATCTGAAGAGAAGGGTGAACTTCAAAATGTTGCTGCAACCATTTCTAAACCAAAACATTTTGCCTTTTGTTTTCAGACAGGTGGCAGGTTCGAAACAAGCAAAAGCATGTTTAATCCTTGGCGTGCAATAAACTTGGGAACCTCCTTCCTACCAAATGCTGTGGTGACAAAAGTTTAATGGCATTAAAATAAAGCAACCAAAGTCACTGAAGAAAGAATCTAAACCATCCTTTGTTTTCCATTTCACATGCAAAATACTCCAAGCCATTCAGCTGCATGCTGGTCTGAACGTACTTTAAAGAATACTCTGCTTTTCAGTTATGAACTGGAAAATCCTAATAGAAAAGGAAGCGAGACATTAAGAAGAAAAATGAAGCAGTGGGGTGTGAAGCAGCTTGGAAGACAGGCTGATGTGACTGGGTAAACCCAGGGTTCAATGACATAAACCAACGTATAGTTTCTGTGTCTATGATAAGGTATGAAACAGAATTTGGGGGAAAGCAGGTAAAAGGCATGAAAAAAAGGGGAAGGTAAGGTTGTATTTTGTCAGTTTTCTTTCGGAAGAAAACAGAAGACCTTAAGAGGAAGAAAAGGAGAAACAGGAATCAGGGAAGGCAAAGAGCTGAAATCAGCAGGGCTCAGATCAACAACTGAAGAAAGTCTCTTCGTTGACAAAGTTAAACCCAGGGATACCGAGTATTATCAGATGTCTTCTCAAAAGTATGTTCTCCAAGCACAGAGTTAATTGTTCGCATTGTGGAAATCCATTCCTTGTTTTACGTAAGGCATTTCGTGATTATCACGACTGTTGGTAAGCAGCCTGACGTTAACCCTGTAAGGTGCATTAGAAGTGAGTAACAACTGGTTTTCAAGCCTGTTGAGAGGGTTTGTTTTCCTGTTTCTAGCCCAAATTCAAGAGGAGAGCTACCAAACACAACAAGAAAAAAGTCAGACAAGAAGTTACATTTTTACCTGCTCAAAACGTAAGCTTCAAACTGCGCAATATTAACACTGGAATTGCTAATTGGTACAACATGAGTATAAACTTAGCTACAGTGAAGCCTTCATCTCATGACAACATCACAGTGCTACCAGATGCTTTTCATCTCCTCACAGATCTGCATTCAATCTATCTGTAACTCTATCTGCAGGTGACTCTGATGCTGTAGCTTCGTTGTGGGAAACAGAATATTTAGACCAAAATTACTATTTGTTTGAAATATTCTGTCTACCTCAGTTTATTTTTACAAGTCTTCCTTCTCTTCCTCTATAAACACTGTGTGTATTTTAATAAGCAGGGGAAAAAAGGGACTGAGGTTCCCTAATTGCAAAAGCCTTTCAAGGTCAGTGAAGCACCAGAATAGCCCAGTAAGAACTGCAGGAAAGTCTTAAACGCACAGTTTTAAGAACTTAGATGAACTGTCAAGGTATTGATGATCTGGCCCCAGTGCAAGGATTTGGCTCTTGAGTTTGGCTCCAGGATGTTAATGTTAAACCTCCAACCTATTCTTGTCAATTTAGCCACAGCAACAACCACAAAGGCTATCGACAGGAAATACAAGCAAACAAATATTAAGCAAAGTCTGTTCCAAATATTTGGTTCAAATACAGTAAACCACGATTTTTCAGCTTTTCATTTTCCAACACAGAGCTTTGGGCAGAGGACCTAAACATTGCCCTTATACACCACGGCACAGCGCTTCATTACAAAATCAGGTGGATTTCATTTGATCAACACTTACCAGAATCACTGCTTTCCACTGGGTTATAAATGTGTTACTCTACAAAACCTTAGTTATTACTTCTCCAAGCTACTGTCATCCTTGGTGGCTTCTCTGCACACAGTATGTGGGGAGGAAGCATCACTTTCAAATAAATACATATTAAAACCATTCCCATTAAGTGGTATTTGGGTTTCACATGTTCCTATTGTACAAAAGTTGGCAATCACAAAAGAAGGCTCTTTCATTTTTCCCTAGTGCCAGTGGAAGTGAACACACGCAATACAGCCTGTCAGACCTGAACCCCTAAGGATTTTCAATAATCTTTCTCTTTGCCTAGAGAATAGAGAATCCTCTATTTCCAACAATGATAATATATGTGAAATGTACTTATTTGTCTTCCTTCACCAAAATTCCATGGAAACAGGGTATTTGTTACTTACATATTCATGTCCTACTGTTATTTTCCTATAGACTGAAGTTCTGCTCCTAAACTCTGCTCCTAAGCCAACTGGAGTTACTCACAGGGATTAACGTGGCCATGCTCCGAGGGCAGTTAAAAGTTCACTTCCCTCAACGCACAGGTTAAAATCATGCCTCCATAGGCTTACAAAGCGAGACCATCTGATCCTCTTGGCTTTTCAGAATAGACACAGGAAAGATGAAACCTTGCTGACAATCCTTCAGCAACAAAAATCTGATTCACAGCATGTTCCTTGTCAAAATGCCTCTCTCAAATTCTAAATGTTAATGTTATACCACTAAATCTCGTCAAGGACTTTTTTTGCACGTTACTTTCTTCTTCTTCTTCTTTATCAATACAACCGAGAGGTTAGGGAAGGAAATTTGAATCCCAGCAGGCAAACGAGAGAACTGAATCCAGGTCTCCAGCATTTTAGATAAAAGTATTTCTCTCTCTTAATCACCAGTGCGGAACCCCGAAGCTACTGTTCCACTTGGAGGCAAAAGCTTGCTGAGGTGATGAGAGCACCCAGGCAACCAAAGAGGCTCCAGACCAGCTCTTAGCCTGGAGCCCATCCTCTGCTCCTGCACTGCGAGCCAGGGAGGAGGAGAAGAACAAACCTAGAGGCTCCACATCCCTCATTAGTGGCTGAAGCAGTCAATGCTTTCTAACAACATGTTTCAAAGCCACAATAACTTCTGGAAAAAAAAACCAACCCCAAGATCATTCCTGGGAAAGAGAACTTAAACCACCTGAAGTCAGCCCTGGAAACACAGGGATGCGAAATCATTGGGAATGTC